CCGAAGGCAGTTGTGGTTTGTCGCCTCTTCCTTCCTCTGCACTTCGGACTCGAAGGGCTTTTGAGGCCGGAGAAGCTGGAATTGCCGTGGGGAGCCTCTGCTGTGCCAGAGCAGCAGGTTTTTAACTGGCTCGGGCACCAACACGGGCCCCTTTCCTTACGGAGCGACTCGCGCTGCCCTTCTAGAAATTGAGCTGTTTGGCCACTTCGGGGTTTGGTTTCTTCCCCTCTTGGAACTCGGCACAGCTCCTGCCAGCGTCCAGTACCCTCCCGGGGGGCTTTACGCCGGCGGTGGCACGCAGGTCACACGCCAGGCTCCCGGCAAACGCACCTTCTCGGGGACAAACGCCCCAAGCTCGGGTCAGAGCCGTCCCGGGAGAAGTTTCTGTCTGGCAGCACCTGCAGCCCAAAAGCTCACGCTCTTTGCTTGGGATTAAGTCTAATACTGGCAGAGGGGTCTTTCAAAACGTGTCTGTATTTTCATGGGACTTTTCCTGGGTGTGCTGTGACCAGGAGGAGTTGAGCTGGTTTAGTACAAGTCTGGAGATAACGCATCAGCTGCCAAAGCTGAAATTATTCAGTGTTGTTGTGCCATGTGCTGATTTTTATGATTAAAGCCACCGATATTCAGGCTGCTCATTTCGGCAATCTTTGTGGTTTTTTTGAAGCATCTCAGGCCCTGGGGCGACGTTATCCATCTTTAAAGATCCGACCGTTGATCCACGCAACAAAGCAGTCTAAAGTCAAGGCACTTCAGCGACCAAGTAAGACACTTTTTTTTTTTTTTTTAAATTATTATTACTATTTCTTGGTTTACCAGTCTTCCTTATCCTGAGCGGTCACGATGACCGGTTCAATGGGGAAATACACATTAAGGACCAGTATTTCTTTCTTGTTGGTTGGTTGGTTGGGGTTTTTTTATAGCTTTATTGGCATGGGAGGACAGGGAGCTGTTGTGCAGAGCCCGCGGATGCATTTTTTTTACGCTATTTCCAGCCAGCCTGTGCCACAGGTGGGCTGAAACTTCCTGCAGCAGCAATGCTGGTTTCTGCCCGGCTGCAGCAGGCAGGAGGGGTCGGCCCAGGTGACCGTGCTGGCCAAAACAGCCCTGCAGCACCAGACCACGTTCCTGCTTACAGGGGAGAGCTGTCACCTAAGTTCTTCAGTCCTCAGTGACTCCCTCCTGCTCTGCAAGGACTGAACCAAAAAAGCATCAAATCTGGTTGGTTTTTTTCGTTTTCACCTACAAGTGCTTTGCCCCAGTTCAGGCTTAGTCTGTCTTGGGGCATCTGCTCCTCGGGGTGAAGGCGGCAGGGAGCAGCTGTGGTGCTCAGCGGTGGCTGCAGGGGGACGGAGCACGGCCGCTGCCATGAGCCTGCCCAGGACCTTCCTCTGCCCTCTCGCTCTGCCCGCTTCAAGATTATAGATGAGAGAACTGATAGCAGTTACCGTTCGGGGTTGGCGTGATTTTATTCAGTAGCAGGTGAAGGAAAAAATTGTTAAGCTTAGTCATTAACATGGTTTTATTTATTTTATTGCCTTTTAAAATCATATGGTAATCAGTTATACTTGCCACAGTAAAGAAATGCCATGAATCTCGTAGCAGTAGAGACTTTGCTGAACGTACAACTATACTGTCATTTCCACAGCACATTGCAGTTGACACAGATTTCAGGATTAACGCTTTAAAGGGACACTGTCACAGGGAAAGTTCCTGAGTTTTTAAGACTGCTGGATTTGAATGAAACGTCCAAGAATCGGATTTGGTTTTGCGCTCTCCCCTTCCTCTGTTTTCATTCACGCTCCCTGATTCGCGTTGCCGTAGCCCATCGGCACAGCTCTGAATCAGGCTGCAAGCTCCTCCCGGGGAACACTATATATCAGCTCTGCTTGTCGTCAATTTAAGGAGCAATTTTTTTCCCAAATACAAATTTGGAGCTTAATTAACTGACAGTGTCTCTTCTTTATTTGTTGGTTTTTTTTTTTCCTTTTTTTTTCTGAGCTTTGTCAAGAAAGAGTGGCAGTTTTATTTTTCCAAGCTGCGTCTGCTTCGAGTCTGCCCCTTTAAGCTGCTGATGGGCTGCCTTTATGAATAAAACCTCTGAAAAAGCAAGCAAAGCCCCCACTGCGAGCTGGATAATAAATGTGCAAACAGTTGCTGATAAATGATAGGTAACAGCCACGTCCAGACTGCCCTGGACTTGGAGGAGTGGTGGTGGTGGCGGTGTCATTTCTTGTAAAAGACAAAACCGTGGCAAGCCAGGTGTCCACCAGAAAAGGGAGGTCACTGGCCAAAGGGCTTTCCCAAAGCATCGGATGATCTTTAGCTGGGGTTTTTTTAAATGCAGGTGGTTGTTTTCTTTTTTCCTTGCTGCTTTCTAAGGATTGAGCCTGCTGGTTTTGATTAGCCTGAATTGAGATCAGGCTTTGCTGTGCGTGGATGAATTGGTTGGACCGTGTGCCTTCATCTTGTTCTCCCAGATGGGACCTGCTGTGTCTTTGCCAGGAAGGGTCAGGCACCTCTTCCTGAAGGGGGAACAATTCTCTCCCCTGCTGCAGAAGAGGCTGGAGTTTAATCCTGGCCAAACAGCTCTTGAGCTGTCATTGAAAAAAAATCTTAATTACAAATCTGGAGGCACCTCTTCCTGAAAGAAAAGGTGATTTACTGGGTAGGAGAGCGAGCGCTTTGCTCCTGGGCTAATTCTGTAAAGGAACTAAGCAGCTGGAAAGCAGCCCTTCTCTCTGCCAGTCCCGGGGTTTAGCTGCAAGGCTGCTCCTGAACAAGCACTAACTTCATGATTTTTCACCCATTTTTTTTTTTTACCTAGAGCTCCTTCACCTTGCAAAAGAAAGACCCCAGACGGACACGGCGGTGGCAAAGAGGCTGGTGACCCGGGCGCTGGGGTTGAAGCACAAGCAGCAGGGTGGCTCAGGCACCGAAGTGCTCCTGCCGGAAAGCTTGGACCAAGAGGAATAAAAACCATCTCAGCTAAAAAAAAACAAACAAACAAACAAAAAGATGTATAGATGAGCATGGCTGCGATATTAAACTGCATGCAGAACCGTGAGTGCCCCAGGGCTGGTCTGTTATGGATTAGCACCGTCTTTTCTTTCGAAAGTTGGGAAGGGAAAAAGTTGACAGTCGATGAGATCCGGAGCGCAAGAGCCGAGCCCTGGGAGGGCGGCTCTGAGCTCTGCCTTACGGGGAGCATCGTGCCCTCCTCTCTTTCAAAGCCTCTCACTCCCGGGGGCACTGGCAGAAGGTAAGGCTGCTTGCAGAGGCACCTGCTCTAGGATGTTAAAAAAATGCATTAGAGCAAGGGAATTGTATCGTGTTGGCCAAAATTCCCCTGTAAGCAGGAGCAGAGCAGCTGCAGGAGTCTGCTTCACGTTTACTTTGTTGTAACGTTATTGCTAAACTATCCCCCAGAACTGACAGGCACTGACTGCAAGGAATTTTCAGGGGTTTTCCGTATTTCTCTGGTGTTTAAGGAGCCTGACATGCTTTGTGGCACCGTTAGCAGGGGAAATTGTCATATGCTGATTAGGAAAAGAAAACCAGCACTTGCCCCTTCGGATTTGCCCAGAGCCTGGGGTTGGGAGATGCTGCGAGACACCTCGTTGTGGCAGCAGCGACAGAGCATCCGCCACAGCCCAGACTTGGCCGCTGCTGCTGCGCAGTCCGGCCTCGGGAGCACAAAATGGAGTTTTCCAGCTTACAGCAGGCTAAAACCCTTTGCTAGCTGCCACCCCCTGGGCCGCTGGATGAACGACAGAAACGCTCTGACAGGCATTCGCAAAAGACTTCTGCGTTCTTTAAGCCTCACAACATCCCTGTGAGGTAGGTTAGGGAGAGCCCAAGTGAGATGCAGCTGGTTTCAGTGCCCCTGGGGACCGAAGTGACCAGCCAGCAGCGTTCCGTTAACTTCAGCTGCTTGGAGAAGTCTGTGGTAGCAGGAATTGTGAACGAGGCCCTAGGCTTTCAGGAGGAGAAATACACAACGGGCATATAAAACGTTTTTCTGGGTAAAACATTTTTTATTCAAGTAGCTGTGTCTGAAAATCTGTAGCAACGTGTGTCCTCAAACAAACAGAGGAACGCACTCAGCACCATTATGAATTTACCAAGTGTAAAAATCCTTTTCAAGACTTACACAGGTGGGGCTGGGACAGCACAGGCCCAGATCCCGGATGATGAAAGCCGTGGCGTCACCCCTGTAAGGTACAGGGATGATGCAATGCCTTAACTAAATTCATCCTTTAAAGACAAGACCGAGTGACTACCCAGCTGAGAAGGTAACGTTTAGGTGTACGTAGAACCTGTTGGGTGACGAGCTTACTGTGCACTGGAAATTCACAGTCCGGTGGACTCAGCAGATCCGCAAAGTCCTCGAGATGTTCCGGGGCAGGCGTAGCTTCACGGAGCCCTGACGTCCTCGTCGAAAACGGTTCTGCGTTCCCTGCTCCGCTTAAGAGATGCTGTTGGGAGTTGATTGTTGAGTGTCGCTGCAGTATTAAATTATGCTCGATACTGTTCTGCTCAGAAAAAGCTGCTCTGATTTTTTTTTTTTTCCCCTTTCCGGTATTTCTTTGCTAAAACGGAGTAACGACGCGGCAGCGCTGAGGATTAGCTGTGTTCAAGCAGCAGCGTCACAGACGGAGGCGTTTGCATCGATGGTGCGTTCAAGCTCGAGTCAAAAAAGCTTAAAGATACCGAGATTAATGCCTTGAAGCAAACGAACGGTAAAGACAGATGTAGGTGGCTGGTACCCCAACAGAGGCAGGGTGTGCTCGCTGCAGCCCGGACCTGCGTCTGGGGCTAAAGACGGCGCTGCAGAGCGGAGGGAGGAACCTCTGGAGAAGGTTGAACGGTGAAGGTACGGAGCCCAGTCGAGGTGAAAAGCAGCTCCTGCCTGTCTCAGGGGCAGGGACTGGAGTTACAAGAGACAGGGGGTGGGCTGAGCACCTACACTGGGAAGGAAGGCATCTTGAGAGAATAATTTACCTTGCTAATTTAGAGTTTGATTGTTTGCTTGATTTTCTTTTTTGTGCAGTGGTTAGGGAAATCACGGAAGCAGGAAACCTCGCTTCTTTAAATAGTGGGGGGGAGGCGACGGGGTTCTATCGGGTGGACACCACCTTGTTATTTGTCAGTCCGCTGAAGTGATCGAACTTCTGCTCCGTTTCCTCGCTGAAGGAGCCACCTGGGGAGGTCACAGAGAGAGCATGAGCCTTGAGCAGGAGGTAGCAAAGGCAACCCAGGGCAGAGAACACGCTGGGGTTTTGTGTCATCTGTGAAAACCAAGGGCTCCAAGCAAGGAGCAAAGATTTTCCTCTGATAATTAATTCAAGCATTAATTAAATCTTGCCATAACTGCAACAGCCCCGAGTCCCCAGGAGTACTGGATCTACTATTTGGAAGACTAAACTACAGCCTGCCCTCAGTGTCAGTGCTCGCCTTCGTGGCTTAAAGAAAAAAACGGGGGGATGGCTGGAGCAGGAGCTGTGAAATGGTCTCCCTGAGGCTGATGGTAAGGGGGTCACTTTGCTCTTCTTAAAGAGGACCATGCCCTTACTTTTCGCTAGTTGAGAGCCAGTGAAAGCTAAATACTTTTATTTTTAACTAGAAATATTTTCAAGCTCAGCCAGAGAGCCCATCCAACACTTCAGCGCCCGTTCGTCCAAGTGAAGTGGGTTTGGCTTTTCTGAACTGGGTCACAATCTGAAGCGTGACACACGAGACAAGTATTTTCTTTAAAAAAAAACCCCAACAAATTAATGAGAAAAATCAGTGGTTTACATGGATTTTTTTCAGGAAAAACACTCCCTGAAGAACTTCTGCCAGCTCTGGAAATTGTCTTCACCCCTGGTTTTATCTGGGGGTTGGCAGGCAGTTGCCACTGATTTTACTTTCTGTATTAAAACCAGTTTCTTACAAAGCCCCCACCTTAATTCCTTTTCAAAATGGTCTTGACAATT